TGAGGTGTAAAGATCATTCCTCAAATTAATCTCTCAATGAGTATAATGCACGATGTAGTCTACTGCCTGGTCGCATGACGGATGCGCCTTGCCTTCCTGGTATGATAAGCCTTCCTGGAATCGTTAGTTTCAGTCGGTGGTGCTTTATAACGACTGGTCGAAATATTTCATAAACTCAGATCCATGTCAGGATGAGTAAATTAGTATCCTTTCAAATGAGATGAACGAGGATCATTAGGCGAAGGAAAGATACAGGAAATGAAATATATTGCGAATATTGTTTTCATAAAGAAAACGCTTATGACACTTTGGCGAAAAATATTCAAGCGAATCAGCCCTTGAATAACCAGTGACTCATCTAAGGCAGATTTCACGGCATATTGCATCGCCCCTTTGCTACTAGTCGCATAGCGGCATTTAAGCAGGGCACAGCTCAATAATTTTTGAGTATCTGCTGTGCCAGGTATATCTCGCATGGTTGTTTTTCGCTACAGCCACCTCGCGCACAACGAGCAACGTTTCAGGAGCTGGTACTCCTCACATGCTACTGCACAAGCACAATAAATCGTCATTACATCGAGTTTGTCAAAGAACAATTGACGCCTCTAAGACAAGGGGGCGGTGCCATCAGTCTTTGAATCTGCTTTTACAGGTGTCGTTCGTTTTTTGGCACGCTTTGGCGTGACAAGTCTATGATGAACCAGCCGCTATGCCAAAGTATAAGAGAGGTTGACATCACGATGAGTACAAGACTTCGTTTCCTCGTTTTTCCCTTATAACCCTTGTCACTCAATTACGTCATAATTATCGTGTTCTTTTCCCGTTCACTGATGGGCGAAGACATCTCCTGTGCTTTCTGATCTTCATCAAACGAGCATCTTCCGCTCATCCTGTCATCGAACTGGAGGTGTTCATTACTGCAATTTTTTTCTCGTAGATCCTGGTATAATGTCTCTGTGGTCAAGCGGTGGTCTGTTATTCTTGCAACGCGTCATGCTTATGGTCACTTCAAAGATAATGGTATTACAGACTCCTGTTTGTACTCTTTCTCATTCGTTCGACTTCCTAGCTTTTCTTGTTATTTCCATCATACACCTTCATTCATTTGCATGGCAATGCAAAATTTTTTTGGTGAAAATGTCGACATTTGCTTTGGTTCCTGTATTAGCGAAATCACAAAAATACTTGACGTAATTGTATAAGAGGGTCCTCCCTTCGCCAACCAGATTTAGAACAATTTAGAGTACCAGCTGCAGAAGGATGCGGTCAAATCATGCTTTCTATATGATCGGACTTGTTCGAACACTGTCTACACATCTGCGAGAAAATTTTTTTGCATATACTGTTATTCTTTATGTACTCTGTATCAGTATGCTAGTCCATCATAGAAAGTTTGGAATCCAGTTTTGGCAGAGTCTCCTTATTGAACATTGCCCCAAGGCAGAAGACGGTCAGACAAGAAGTGTGTTCTTCATCGGCATTGCATGTGTGTATACGTATAAAAGGCGGTGGGTAATGCTTGTGGAAAGCAATTGCTTCTTATTACCGACTCAAGCGGTATGCAACACAATCGCTTGAAAAATTTCTGACCAACTTTTTAAAAAAAAAACCATACTTTCCTACGCAGAACACTTGGACGAACTCCAGAAGGAGCAGCAACGTCGTCGTTCGTTGGTGGATCACTGCTGAACACCGACAAAGCGATCATCGACGCGAAGCCACCCCAGGGAGCTGACCCCGTTGTAAAAGTGCTTAACAATCACTGATCGTCAACGTCTGTTCTTACTGTCGGTGTTAATGGCGAGGTCAATGGGCAGAAATCACCAGCGTCCACCGGGGGCATGCCGCACAGTGGCAATTATCTGTCGCAAGACAATCCGCGCCACTGACCAAACGTGTCGTCTGCCAATAAACCTAAACCGTTACCGACCGTCGTCCGAACACGGCCGACGTGGCTTAATTACCGGTCGCTCGATGGCTCCATGCCGCGCCGATGCGGTCCCGTCCTTTTGGCCGTACGCACCAATCGCCAGACCTGACCGTCCGTCAATCCAGTTCTGCCACGAAGGTCGGCTCGCACGGATTACTGTATTTAAAAAGTAGCCTTCCCTGTGATCGAGAAAAATTCAGGAGTGTTCTCTGAGGGCTTGTTGTGGCGCATGGCGGCAATCGCTAAGACTTTCGTCCGCGACCGATCGTCGCTTGGTTTCACGCGCTGCTGGATGCCCTAATCTTTGAACAATTCTGTGTTAACGATAATTGTTCGTGTAGTTACGAATAGGGTCGTGCAGGGAAATCACTTCAAAGGCGGCTCGACCGCATTATGGTCACTGACTGGTCATAACTCATGCGAAACATATTCCACTTCTGAAATGTTTTTCTTCCTCGAAGGTGAGTTCTGCTCTCTTGTCAGTCATTTGCATAAGGCTCGAGCCGCTTCTCCTTATATGTCTAGATTCCATGCTTGGTGAACCATATGGTAACTTATACGTAGCTGTGCATAAATTTATTTATCAGCTTTTTGTACTGATCTTGAATTTGAGCCCGTGCCAGCGTTTTGTATTGACGAAGAGCGCTAAACGAAAAAGTCAAGCGGTAATCATCAGACGGTAGTCTCTTCTCTTTCAATACATGTTCGGTGTTCCGCTTGTCAGCATATATATTAGGTTGACGGTTTAAATAGCGTCGAAAACAGCGGTTATACAATTTGGTCGGTCCTGTCTTAAAGTCGAGAATATAGGTCGAGTTGAATTGCTGAAAAGCAGTACCGATGCTACGACACAACCTCATGCCCCTGGAAAGAATAAAGTAGTATTGAAACTGACTTCTAAGTCAGTTGCCCAACCGGTGATGACACGAACGAACTAAGTGATCACCTATGGAATATGGCTGAGCGATGTATGCAATCAGGGCTTACTATGAACGCTGAATTAGCGAACTAACGAGGCGCTGCTAACCGAGATTGACAGAGTGGTTGTATCCTCAACCAGTACTGACAGGAGTTCTAGTTCTTTTGTGCTAATAAAGTAATGACTCTTTGATCTTCTGTTTATGTGACAGGTACTCGCTACTACCATGCCTAATGGCATGGTTGGCATATTCCTGGGTAGTCCTTGGTCAAAACTTCAGCGAGGCTTTTCTTGGAAATGTTGCTTCTGACCAAAGGGTCAATCCAGCAGGAGCTAGGTCTTTCCTGTTGGTGACCAAAGAACAATATGGTTCCAGAAAACATTTCGTGATTTCAGTCGCATAGATGACACCAGTCTAATTTCATGATGAATCATCATTGCAGATAATGCCAGGAAGTTTTCTGTTCAGGGACATGGGGTATCGGGGTATCGCACTTTAGTGAACTTGGATATTCTTCTTCGACCGAAGTGGCTGCGCGACAGTCAGTAGAAGCAACGAACCAGGAGCTTTTCAAAGATCCTTGTCGGTTTTGTTGGGACAATATTCAAATGATTCCAATGCTAATGCTTGCTAATCTCTGTAACCTGAGATTTGTCCTTATTACCTTTCATGTTTCATATTTCTCCCTGTGTCCATCGTCGCATAAAATTGAGCTCTTCCTATTGGATACTTGCAAGTCAGTTATCCCTGAAGTTCAACTGCTTGCTGTGTGTCAGATGTGCAGGACGATCTGAAAATGATTTTTTCCATTCTTAAACAATCAGGCAGGTTTTCAGAAACACTTTAGTACCCTCGTCGTTTTCATGCAAGTGAGGAAAATGACTACAATTCACGTTGTACCGCAATTGCTCATATTAAATTTAAAGTTATGAGCGAGTCTTAACGTAACAACGAAGTAAAGCTTGCGAAAACGCCTGGAAGCGAAGAGCACGCCGCTTTTAAAACACACCACAGAGTGCTCTTACGAGCTGCATCCACGAATTTCATAGTATAAGCTTTCGTCCTCAAGTAGAAGTGCTTTAGAAAGTCCTGATTTGCATATTCGTTATATACGGACCAATATGGACCATAAAATGACGTACAGGATAAACCATATATGCACAGGTTGCTGTATTTCTGATCGTTTCGTTTCATTCGCTTCTTCTCAACCACTGTTTCTTGCTGTCATTCCGTACCCAGTTATTTCTGTTAGTTCTGCTCCTTTATAGTTATATGTTGACCAAAACTGAACTTACTGTCTTTTATGTTTAACCAGTCGATCATTCGCCATTTATTCTTCTTCTGGACCATGTGTTTGTCGTGTTCTGCTTTTCCTGGAGCATGAGACGGTTCCGCGCTAGCTACCGAGCCCAAGAATCTAACCGCCCCCAAAGCTTGTCAGATATGCTGCAATATGTTAAATATTTTGTGAATTTAGTTCGATCGCTATGGTTAACATGCTAACCGATTTGTGATTATATCCACTACAATCCACTAGAAGTTTTAAGCATAAGGAAGAACTCGTTTGCTCTGCTAGAGGATCATTCTTCTTTCTCTTTGCCAGCGACCATTGAGGCGACATTAACTTTCGGTGATACTGACTCTCGTAAAGCTTCCTGCGTCCATTCAGCTTCAAACTACTTCAGGTAGCCAGTTTAATGGCCTGGATTCTAAGGTATCAAAACTTCTGCATAATCAAACCATCTAGTCCGCGGTCTGTTCCTTAGTCGTCCTCGTGGCTTGAATGATTTCCCTATAGTATTTTAATTTCCCCTTCTTAACAAGGAAATTTAAAACGTAAGTTTGTGTGCAGTTAAAGTACCTCACTTTAAACAAGAATTGCCCAAAGCTTGCTGGAGTCATTATTCATGTTGGCATAAGCGTCTAGACCACTCTTTCGGCGTTTGCCCTGGGCATCGTGCTCGATTCACATGATGCGTGAAACCTGCGGGCGAAGCACCACTGTATTTCACGTGACTCGCGCCAAGGAAGGAAAGTAAACACTTAAGTGCTTTTACGCCTCATTGTGTTTCCCGGAAACTGCGTACAAACATCGGAAGCACCATAAGTCAAACAGCGACCGAGCCCTTGGCCGTCGTTGTGGGAAACGAAAGCCGCGCTAAGCTGCAAGTCAAGTCGATTCCCCGGCCGGCAATCCACTCTTCGCACTCATCCTGTCCTCGCCGGCATACCGGTTTGCTGGCCACGAGTGGAGCGGCACTGAGACAGCGGCATGAACATCGACGACGACCTCAGCTGTTCCAACGATCAGCTGATTAATTTTTGGCCAGCGATGATTTATTCCTCGATCTTCAGGGGGAACCTGCCAAACCGGCTCCGGGTCGTCTGTCGACGGTCACCACATGACCGCAGATCCAGCCATCGAAAACGATATACGGTGTACGGCACTCGTCGACTTCAACTGATCGTAGACCGTAGACTGTTCCTCTGTCCCCAAGTGCGGGCCGTGATCAATGACCCTCGAACCACTAGTTGGAGTGACAAATGAAAATTAAGGCATCAGCAACAGCTGCAGTTTTTTATGCCAGTATTAGTAAGCTGGTAGTTTAAAATTTCGACAGCTTTTCTTTGCTCCTTGGCAGCCGCCGACAGTTATTCTACAGTGAAGAACGACCGTCATTAAACGCAAACGAAAGTTGGTGTATTGCATGATGGGATCCTTAAGCGATGTTTAAGTCTGGCGTAATTTATTACCGTGGTCATGCTAGAAATTCAGGTCGTATTGCAACACATTACATAAAGATTATCGTTCTTGCCTTGGTGATCATACTGAAAAACAGTGTAAGACGCGGTTTATTAATGCATAAAGCAAAAGCTGGGCTCAATCATTCTACTGACAATATTATTGTTTTGCATTGCGTATTAATGAACCGTGTTTAATTATGTTTTCCACTCGGGGTACATAGACATGCGACCCATGTAGAGCAGGAAATCGACAGGACGGAAGTAACATTGAAGACGAACCGCAAAGCAATAAACTGCAACCACAGTCCACCGTCTCCTGCATGCTGAGATTTTATATTATACATTGAATAATGACATCTTTTCTCACGTTGCCCAAGATAATTGTGGTTACCTAACATTTCAGTAACTCATTCCCATGAGAATCCACTGAAAATAATACTCAGTGTTCTTGATTGCCTGATGCCAGATGTGCTGTATCGTCTCGGCCTTCCTGCCTCTCTCTTTCTGCCATTCAGAGTATTATCCCGTGATATGCATTCAGCCCCAACATCAAGTTTTCATATCCCTTATTGATCCTCCGCAGATCGAGTAAATGCATGGTCTCGCTTTTAGGCTGCGGCAGTGTTATATGTTCAATATAACTCAGTTCCTTGGTACTACAGAAGCCTGGTTGAAGATCTCCTGAGCAGTTTCCAGTATTCTGCTTGCCTCGACTACTGCGAACTGCATTTAGCCGTGTTTGTATATTATGCAGTGGGCCTTGAAACCTCTTCTATAAGTGGCAGGTAGCGAACCGCTATTCTGTGAATGTGGTGCAAACGGTGGAACACTGTCTCATGCACGGCCATAGCAGTGGAGAAACATAAATCCATCTGGCAGCAGGATGCGGTAGAATGGTCATGATGATTGAAGTTACAACTGTTACACTATTAGAACATAACATTCTTCAACTGCTTAAGCCGTTTAAGCATAAGACCGTACCACCTTGCATCGCTAATCGATGCTCTCCGCCAAGATATGCCCAACGAACGCGTCGTGACTCATTTTGAAGACTTCATTTGCAAAGAAGATTCTCTGCGATTCTTCGGATCATCCGCATGACACTGCCAACTTGGAGGTGAACTCAACGTATGCCATATTGGGGTCCTTAAAACGCTCAGTGAATTTTGCTTGACCAGGAGTCCTGAAGCCTAGTCTAGCATTCAACGCTGAAATATGGAGTCACTTAAACTCGGCTCGCTAGCAATATGACTTAGGTTTCGTTCGCCTTATGCGTAGTTAGCATTCTGCATTTATCTGGAACCGCTGAAAAGCTACTGCCTAGTATCTGTTATGAAAATGAGCTTGACTTGACTCACTGAGGCAAAATAATAATTCAGTGTTCCTTTTGGTTTTGGTCGTCACAAGACCATGCCAAATATCCGCCTTGCGAGTTTCTCGTCCGCCATCTCGATTACACGCGCTGATCGTCGCCATTATGATGTCTAGATCTGAAGACGCAGCTGCTCGCAAGCGAACGAGCTTCCCACTGCCATGCTCCAACGCCCATCGAACCCATTTACCAGCCTTACATTCATAACCCAAGTTTATTATCACCGATGTATTTCCGGCTTTGTTATTTCGACGTTCTGACCAT